AATCTTTAATGTGGCATTTTCAGAATAGCCTCAGGGTTGCTAGTAGGCATGGGTGTCATGCTTGCTTGACCATCTGCCTCTTTTATTCAGTTCCCTGTCCTGACATTGAACACCTGTATAATAGATTTGGTTGGATTGTTCTCTCCTGGTACAACTTTAAGACAGTGATCATTCTCTCTTCCTCTCCTCCTCTGACCCCCTGGGTCTTGTGCATGACTTAAGCCCATTCCCAGAACAGCTCCCTTTCACGCAGGTTACAGGAATATTTGAAACAGTAATTTGTTGCCTCTAAGGCTTTTATCTTCTGGAAACATCCTGATAAGGAATCGATTCAACACATATGCAAGTAGTTAAATCTCCCACTTTATTGCCACAAAATTTGCAGCTTCTCTAATCTCACTCAGCATTTTCTCATCACAAACATCATCTGATCCGAGAACTATTAATACAGTATAATATTATTAGAAGGAATTTACATTCACAAGGTTTTGCACAGTAGGCTTTTCCACACACAAACACAAGATTTTCACGCTGCTACACTTCATGCTACCTTTTATGCAAACTGCTACTCCCCTGCCTGTGTGTCTAATCATTGCAGTAAAGTTGGCAGCATATTAGCATCACACATCAGTGATTATTCTCCTTCCATCAGGCTTCCAACACATCTACTATAAAGCAGTTGTCATTCGATACCCAGCATTTTCGTTTGTTCATCTTATCTTTTAGGCTTAAGATAATATGACATTACATACAAGGTTTGCTCCAGCTCAGCTGCTCAATATTTCACGTACCAGTTAACTTTAAGTCATATATTCACTTAATGTTTTCAAAGAATTATAGTAGGTAAGAGATTTCTTTGATACCGTTGTGCCAAAAGGGCTTTTCACAGATTTTCTTCATTGATCTGCAACCAGGAGTATAATCCTGATGAATCTTAGACGCTTGGTATTTCTTATTGTTTCTCTTTTAAGTCTCTAACTGCCCTTCATACAAATCCTAATTTTTGCCTTTAAAAGTAAAAGTTATCAGAAAACCAAAGATCATTCGTACAAACCATTCACATTCATCACCTTATTTTCAGCATTTCTCAATTACTTTCTCTGTTCCCCACCACCACAGGTAGGGAGAGAGCCATGGAGCATTCACTTTACTTCTACACTGGGATCTTTAAGGCAGTGATTTCACTCCTTACTTTTATTCTTTTAGCTGCTGACACAAAGCTAAAGATTTGAGGGTTCCAGAATCTTTTGGTTTTTTTTCTTGAGGCATCTCACAATAAATGCTCATGTTTTCTTGCAAATATTTTAAATATATGTACACTTTCTAGTCACAATCAAATCTTTTCTCAAGTACTCACATTGAAAGTATACGTCCCTGTATGGATGAAATATTTCCAGATTCTGAACTAGTACCCTATGACAAAGGAGTTGGTTTTCTATTTTGCCCTTGCCTACTTCTTTCATATGTATAATCTTAGATCTCTTTAAATTACAAATTTATCCTAGGCAAGAGTAAATTCCGAGTCAATAAATAAATTGCATTTTGTCTTCAGTACATTGCAAGAAGAATCCCATCAACAATTGATGTGTTGATACTTCTCATTGTTCCAGCCCAAAGTTTTAATTTTTACAAAACACTTTGCTCTCACAAAATGGTCAAATTTTTCAAAAAGTGACCAAAACAGCTTTATAACAAATAAAAAAAAAATGAAGAGAAATGATTCTGTACCACCCATAGCCCTTACATGGACTCATCATTATCATTATTAAAGAAGCTGCACGGTGAAAACATTTCCTCCAATAAGTTACCAAGACCATTGCCAGTTGGTCAAAGAAGTGATTATTTTCTTTTATACCCCTTTTTTCTCAGGGAAAAGTATCTGGAGTATGTCTTCAGTTTTGGGCTCCCCACTTCAAGAAAAATATTGATATATTGGAACACGTACAGATGAATAAGGGGCTGAAACATAAGACGCAGACAGAAAGGTTGAGAGAGCTGTCAAGTCTGGAGACAGACAAAGGGCAAGGGAACTCTGTCTCCAACTATCTAATAGAAGGCTACAAACATGAGGGAACCAGATTCTTCTCAGAGGTGCACAACGAACAAGAGGCAACAGACACACCGTTGCAAAAAGAGATATTCCAACAAGACGTTATGAAAAAAAATTTCACCCCAATGGTAACAGACATGGGAACAGGTTGTCCATCCATACATCTCCATCTTTTTGGGTTTTCTCAAAATCTGCTGGACAAAGCCCCAAGAAACATCAACTAGGCTGACTCTCCTTTTACAAAGGTGACTGGACCAGGTGACTGGACCAGGTGACATCCAGACGTTCCTTCCAAATTAAGTTATTCCATGATTCAAGAACATGCCTCTGACATATTTTTACACATCCTCTACCAAAGTGATTTTTTTTTTCCTCCATGTATAGTCTTTGCTCCATCTTACTACGCATTATTTTTCCTACACTGAAACTAGACCCTCTTTTTAATGTTACTTTCATACCTCCGTAACATCTACAGTTGTTTCAGTTGCTTCAATACCCACTCAGAATCAACATTATTTATAACTTCTATACAAACATCTGCTAAAGCTTCAAATCTATTCTATGCTGTTGTGTATTCCTTTTTCTAGTACAAATTCCTCAATGGATTATTTACATACACATAAGACTTCCTCTTCTGCATCAACAGTGAAATACTTTTGGCACATCAGCTGGAAAAACGCAGCTACTGAACATTTGAGTACTTCACTCTGATTTTACTTAATCAGAATAAAATTCACTTAAAACATCATTGAACACTCTGGTCCCTGCTTCCACAGCTAGATACCTCTTCTTACACAATGACTTCAATGAAAAGAGTGCATAAGCAGCCCCTTCAACAGAGTGGAAACCAGCTCATCCTTTGCACGCTGTCATTTGGCTACAGAATCATTTTCATCTTCTCATCTTTCTGGTTTTGGAGACAAAGCTTTAGAAATAGTCCAGGAGACTGCTTCCAAGTCAAATCTAGCGAATAGCTCAATTCTACTTTAGAACTATCTAGCGAATAGCTCAATTCTACTTTAGAACGCGAGATGTTACATCTCTTCAAGACTGAGAAGTGAAGCTGGGTGCCTCCAATTTCTTTGGCAAGTTTTATTACAATCAATAAGTTATCACGTATAAGCTACAAAGAAATACCCACTCTCTCCATGGTCATGAGTACAAAAGCAGCTACTCTGCTGTTCTTCGTACTAGAATTCATGCTGTTAGTAGGAGACACTGAGGTGCCTGGTGCCATCTACTTATGTGCTTAAGCATTCACACAAATTTCTGTAAACCACTCACTTGAAGAAAGATGAAATTTAGTTCCATGTTACCCTTTAGACACCTACTTGGTGTTATGAATAATATCTTTAGTGTCTCCACTTCTTTTGAAAAATTAAGATGATGGCACACTTGTATCACTCACATGAGATGAGATGTATTTCAAAATTAAAAAAAAAAAAAATATTAAGCAGCAAGCTCCATCTATTAAAAAAAAATAAATTACATTTGTCCCTGCAGGCTATAGTCTTTTAATCACCCCCTGCCCCCCCATTTGGTATAAGAGTATACTTCACTGATTTTTCAACTGTAGATCCAATAACTCTCTTCTGCTAAGTTTTGTCAAAACAATGTATTCAGTCCATCCAGCTGAACTTTGAAGGGATGTTAATCTTGTTAACTCTAATGTTCTTGCTCTCCATGGAGACTCACAATCCTCTTCTGAGCCATTAACATGTTCCTGTTTGGCCTGAACATCATCTTGTCTCCCAAATTTTACTGTTTAATTACACATAGGAAACAGTATTTCCTCCAGTGGCTTTTAAACCTTCCAACCTACTAATTCAGGGAATATTCTTGGGAATTCTCCTAACAAAGGTAGCACAATGATCTTTTAGACTTCTTCTAAGACATTCAAGCAAAAAACTGTCTATGGTCTCTGAGGTTTTCTTGCATTTTTATCTTTGTACAACATACTTAATATTATTAAATATCAACAGTAATAAATTGTAGTACTCGGTAGAAATATTGCAAGAGCATAAAAGCCTGCTTTCACAAAATCAAAATAAAGTTCTTGGTTATGGTAAAAAAAAGTACTATTGGATAATACACACCAAAGCATACAAAAAATGGAGAAACTTGAGAATGCCATCTTAAATTAAAAAAAAAAAAAAATCAAAGCAAAATGTATAAAACAAACTAAAAATATAATAATGCCTTTTCCATTTGAGAAGAAATTAATCATTGCACCCCTTTGACTGCCCCAGAGTATTAAGTCTCTGATATCAATCAAGGCTGGGGGTTGGGGGCCAAGAAATGTGTTAAGAAATAACAGTGGAAATATAAGTATTTTATATATGGGGCAGAATAACCTCAACTATTAGTTAGGCAACTTACTTACAGAAAGGCAGAAAAGGTTTAAAGTTAGGAATACTTTCAAATATTTTGCTCTTCCACAAGGCTTTAAAAGCTGAAGCAGCTAAGCAAAATATCAAAGGACATTACTGTTGCTACAGGTCTATCAGAAATTTAAAAACCTCATTAAAAGACTCTCCTCCCTCATAGAACCCGAATACATCAATTATGTGCATTCTGAGGATAAACACATCTTCTGGACTCTAAATTAGGTCACAGTAATTTATAAAGGTATTCAGACAAAATTTTATAAATATTTTTTCCAAATGTGACTCAATGAAAGTCTGTATTATCCAGAAGCATTTCTTAGAATTTTTTTTTTTTTTTTAGTGAGGTTTTCCTTATTGGTCACAATTATTTTCACCCTTTAAGTAAGATATTTCACTGGGATTTAACAACTCTGGGATTTTCAAACTTTTTTTTCTTCCCCACACATTCCACTTAAAAAATAGAACATTAATTTATAATCTGAAATTTTTTGGTATAGTATTGAAGCCCTGAGAATTTTAAAGATATCTCTAAAAGCTGAAAATGAAAGCCACCAATTACTTACCCCTTTTTTGACAACAAAACGTAAGTTCCAATTTGCAAAGCATGTCAGCATTCTCGTACTTGTCTTCTTCTGCCTTAACCCAAAAACAGGATTCTGTCATTTCCTGAGGTCTGATCTACAAGCAAGACACAAAATAAGATTTTAAAATTATTTTGATACTATAAAGAGACTGTGCTCTGTAGAAGTTAAAGCAAATGAAATACTTAAGAGCTCTGTAAAACACATGCACTTTTGCTATACAACTCATCTTTTGAGTTATTAATGTATTGCTGATTGAAGATAATGATTGAAGATAATGCTTACAGTAAGTGCTTTTGGACAAACTGATTCTAATAATACAAAGCAACACAGACATCATACTCTGTTATCCAAGGTCTAAATGTACGAAATTATCTTTGGTCTAGATTTAAAACGTCAGTAAACTTTAAATAGTCTTTGAACACGGCAGGTTTAACTAGATATTAAGTACCTTACTTTTTAGATTGTAGCTTTGATTGCTTCATAAAACTCTGAAAAACTTCCTACTGACTTATTTTGGTCTAAATAATTATAGTTTCCATAACTCAGAATATGGATAGCCCTGGAATACTCGATCCTGTCACAGTGGAGAAGAAAAAAAATAGACTATTTTTTCAACCATTAAATTTACGTAAGTCCATTTACACTAAGGACAAATGGAGAGAGCAGTAATGCTTCTTCCCACAGCCCCGACCAGAGAGATGCAAGACACTTGTTTGGAACCTGCATAGCTACCAGTACAGTGCAGTGACTGACCCAATGTAAACGGTTTGCATCTCAGAAAGTCAGCAGATACTTGTCCAGTATATGTATGTAATATCCTACATACTTTTAACTAACGTATTAATTGCCCTATATTGTCAATAATATGACTATCTATTTACCCTAAGCTCTGTGTAAGATTTTACATCAAGTATTTGCCTCTTTCCTGGAAGTGTTCAAGACCAGGCTGGATGGGACTTTGAGCAACCTGGCCTACTGGGAGGTGTCCCTGCCCATGGTGGGGGGGTTGGAACTCAATGATCTTTAAAGGTCCCTTCCAACCCAAAACATTCTATGATTCTATAAACAAGTACTACCTTAGACCAGTTGAGTCTTTTCATGGTAACCTCAGGTCTGAATTCTTTTTTAGGCTTCATTCCAAATGGCAAAGTACATGAAGGTGGAGACCACTGTGCTCCAGGCAGGCCTGGTAGAGGCGGTGGTGGAGGAGCACCACCAAAAGCCAGGGGAACTCCCAAACCATTCAGAAGTGGTGGAGGAGGAGGAGGGGGAGGCGGCGGTGGTGGAATTGCTCCATTAGAAGGCAGCGGTGGAGGAGGCGGTGGCGGAAGTTGATGTGGTCCTGCAGCTTCTATTGGAACTATAGATGCATCTCCGCGTGTTGATGGTAGAAAACCAGGCGGCAAGGAGCCATACTGGTAAGGAAAATATTCTTACTCAGTTTCACAGGTTTTATCAACAAAATGCCATAACAATCATAGTTCATAGACAAAAACCAGCAAGTCAATTGAAAGTCTGCCATTTTCTTGTACAGGAAAATCAAATACAAATTATAATGAGCCCAATGTGCTTTTGATTTCATAACTGGAAGTCTCAACATTCAAAGCAAGCATTCAAACCAGGGGGGGCACACCAAAAGTGACCAACTGAAAAGCTATATCCCACTTGTCATATTTAACTGATCATGATCTAGGAAGGGTCTGATAAAATTTCACAGAGATAACTATCTAGACTACCATAATTTAGCTCAAATTAAAAAAAAAACAACAACAAAAACATCCTAGTCTCTAGTGTTCTTACTTAGCCTATAGATTACAGAGAAACATTCCAAGGGCATAATAGCAGATTCTGAAGAGATTAGTAATTCTGTCCAAAAATAGGCATTTTCCCATATAGGAGCATTCTCATTCTACAGAGCTGAAAGCACTAAGTAATGATGAAAATTCCTTCCAAAAAATATAGCTGTCTTTTTATGTAGAATAAAAGTTGGTGTGTAAGGACATCTATGCTGTACCAAGATAGGCTCATTAGCACTTCAGGAAGTCTAAAAAAATATATATTCATGTCCACTATTTTAAGAACTTCTATAGGGGGCCTTCAAACATTAATAAATAGGTACCTGACAAAAACAACAAAAGAATAAATAAGAATTGGCACTAGCGTTAATCAACTTTTTAACTAATAATTGTGAGCTGAAGCAATCTTTTTTTTTTATAAAATGGAGAGAAATACAATAAGCAGAGAATTTAATATTTTTTAAATGTAATAGCTGAATATCAGTAAATAAATACATGCACAATATTGTTTGAATTTCTGAACATACGTGTTGTTCAGAGTAACAAGTAGACACTGAACAATTAGGCTCTAATAACAACAGAAATGCATTAAACAAATACCAAATACAACGAAAGAGTAAAGGAATGACACCAAGAGGAAAAAAAACATGGTCCTGAGATGGAAGTAGTCATGCTTGGTAGCAACTGATGCCATATGGAAACCAAAGATTCCTCTTAAGACAGATTTTAGAGTAGTAAGGTGTAGTAATCAACTACTTGATATTTACAAAACATTTCAAGTATCCCATTAACAGTGGGATAATTCATGGTATGATAATTAGGGAGCATAATAATATGCCATGGTGACTGACTGCACATATTTGAGACAGTGAGCAAGAGGAAAGGTAAAATAGGAGAGAAAACTCATCTCACTCACAAAAATTCTTTAAATGTGTTTTCAAGACACACAAAAATACTTTCTTAATTAATTATTTACAGTTCTCACTAAAATTATTTTTTTGAATGCAAGTTTTTGTAATTGCTTTTTTTAAAGCCTGTTTGACTTTGATGTTAACACTTAATTCTGGCCAGCATTTAGATTCTAATTCTGGCGTGAATTAGAATGATATTTTTAAACAGACCAAAGCAGAGCTTATTTTCCTCACAAAGAAAATTAAACAAGCTCAAAAGCACAAAAAAAGACTCTATGATCCAAACACATGTTATATAACCTTCCTATATGCATGCCTTCCCAATGCTGTCTGTCTTTAGCCATTTTTAGACTGTGCTTCTTGTTCCAGGAAATAAGACACAGGAAAAATCACTTGGTCACACAGTGTCCTTACACTGATTTTTCAGAGCTGAAGCAGTTACAAGTTAGCTCAAGTATTACTCTCAAAAATCCACACTATTCCTCTCCATCCCGTTTTAAAATATCTATTTATGCTTGAAAATTGAAAAATTATCAGGAAATGGTCTTATCCAGCCACAGGTTATTTCTTTCACTGCTGGATATCCATGGTAAAGCTTCAGCAAAGCAAACTGCGTAATGAATAATTTCCTGTGGAGGGATAAAGATCACAGTGATGAATGCTAATCTAAAAGCATAAGACTTATTACCCTATGTGGTTAATTACTTTGGAAATATATGACACTGAAAGCAAAACCCAAATGAAACATAAGAAACTAGTTTAATTAACAGAGCTCAGGCACAAAAAGTATCTGGGAACTCAAACAGCTAATTAATGTCACACTACAATTCTTTGTATAAACAGAAATAAAGGAAACTAACAGTCAATAATCAATAACAAGGATTCTTGGAAAAAACTCTCAACTGTACTATCTTTTGCAACTAGAATTGGCAAAAGATGCAAAATGAAGTCCCTTTCAAAAACTACACTTCATAAATTCATTTAAACTGTCTTATACCTGTGATTTAAAAGCTTGCAATTCTGCTTCAAGTTCATTAATTCTTTCTTCTTTTTTTTGTAGCAGGGCCTGGGTCTCCTGATGAACTACAAAATCTTTTTCAAACTAAGAAAAAAATTAAAAGGAAAAATAAAAGAAAATTGTTGCTACCAGTCAGTTCTGCACAGCTTATTTATTTAGATTCCAAATGTTTATTTTGTGTTTGTTGAAACTCACATAAACAATACTAAGGACACACACAACGTATCTGCTATTGTAACTTCCATGTATCCATTGAGTGGAAGTACCATCTCTATCACCACTGCAAGTCTTTACTATGTGAAATGGCATAAAGTACTTAATGTATTTCAACTTGGAATTAGACAGAGTAGCTTAAAGAATTGATCTACAGTCATTCAGAGTCCATAGATAGAAATGAGTCGGTTCTCATTCTCCCACTATTTATCTTGTTGAAGAAACTGTTCAAATACAGTATTCAGTCTATTTTGAGGAGATTTGATTTGGGAGACATGAAACCTTGAAATAAATAGTAGAAGGACTCTCACTTAAGGTTAACTACTTTACACCCCTTTTCTCTGCTTTCTAGCCCACAAGAAACATCCCAAGTTTCCACTTTAACAGAGAACTAATGATAATTTGAACTTAAAAACTTATACCACGTTCAGCTACGTCAGTCATGAAGCTATTAAGTAATCCCCTGTGTCCATCTTATGATCACGTAACATAAAAATTACTTACTTTCCTGGAAAGTTCAGAAGCCCTCTCTTCGCATTCTTCTAATCTTGCTTTATCTACACAAATATCTTGAAAAAAAAATAAACAAACATACTTGCACATATACAGGGAACACAAGATTCTTAATCACATGTACAACTTTACCATGGGTTTTGGAACATATAAAGAAGTATGATACTGTAAGCATTTCAAAAATGGGTTTTGGAACATATAAAGAAGTATGATAGAATAGAAGCATTTCCAAACAGAGTACTTACCTATTAAGTGGCTGAAATCTATATCTAATCTTTTACGATACGTGAAATCTGGGTCTGTTCCACTTCGATGTAACACTATCTGGGACACACACTCTTCAATTAATTTGAAATACTGTGGACTAAAGACAGAGATGAGTTTATTTACAGCATATTTATTTATTAATGTATACGTAAAATCTTGTCTATGAACACGCTAAGGTCAAAAGAGTTGGGCTGACTTATTTCCAAGGGTAGGTGTAAATCCCAGAAGTCTCAAAGGACGAATATATCTGGCAGTTTATTACACAAGTGCAGTTTACACAAAGCCTGAAAAAACAGTGGACCTAATGATAAATTATCCTATTATAAACTCTGTATTTGTCCTGCTATGGAAACACAGGAAGGAAGGACCTCCTCCTGCTTCCTCACAGTAAAAACAGTGGACCTAATGATAAATTATCCTATTATAAACTCTGTATTTGTCCTGCTATGGAAACACAGGAAGGAAGGACCTCCTCCTGCTTCCTCACAGTAAAGAGGAGGCTCTTCCTTCAGCTTGATCCTTTCTGGTTGTGACTTTTGTAACTACGGGTGAAGCCCTGCTTCACGTAAGAGAAATAAAAAACACCTTGTTCTAAAGTGCCGAGGGCCATGACAGAACATGGAAGCTGGAATTCAAAGCCTTTCAGGTGGAAGAGGTCTAACCTGGGTATACCCATGTCAGGCAAGCACTCTTAACCTTTAAGGGTACCGCTGTGCTAGACCATGCCTGAAATGCAAGGTTATGCATAATGCTATGCAGAAAACTTTCCTTCCCTTTTCAGTTCATATCTGCTTCCTCCAATGTTCCCTCAAAAACAACACAGGCAGGTTTTAGAAATGAAAGTAATTGGCAACTTCAAACATTTATATTTTGTTAACTTCTTTTCCGTACTTTATCTGACAATTTTTCCAAGACACACTAAGGTATTCACACTGATTTATAATGTATATTGAGAATTCTCAATTCCCAACCAAAAGTTACTCTGAATTAAGCCTATTTTCAGATTTCTGTATAAAGTGCACTTCTGTGTACACCTGGTTTTGTCCTTTGACTAAAATACATCACGAAATTACAATGCTACTACAATGATTTATAACCAGTTAAGACACCTGTCCTCATCACTTAGACTTGCAGTCAATAAGCCTCATATCTCAACACAAATGGTTTTCTATATTTATATACAAAATTTTATCCTAAGTAGAAGAGACCAAAAACATATATAGCATTCTTATTCAAAGCTGATACTTTTGAATATGAGTTCACAAAGGTTTACTTACAAACTGGAATCGGCACTGAAAAATACTAAACTATATTTATCATTACATTTATGGAAGAAATATTCTATTAATGACTAAATTACAAGAAAATTGATAATTAACATTTAACACAGCATTAAACATACCGTATGAAATAGTCATTTCTTATGAGCAAAAGATGTTGGAGAATAGAAAGAAAATATCCTTCAGCGCTAGTGTCCTTAACTGTATTCCACACCATGTTGTAAACATCATTTACTTCAGTAAGAAAGTTAAGGAGAGTAATAGCCAGGAAAAAAAAATATTTCAGTCAAATGTTGATGGATAACTTCTTTTAAACAGAAGTTATACCAGAAAAAATGCCCGTTATACACTTTATTTTGCTCATGTTTCTCTTGCCGATATCAAAAGGATATTCTAGTTCAGATCTAATATCTTCTAAACGATGAGAGAACTCGATCATGTCTTCTTCCTTATGCTCGTTGAACACTTTCAGCTGAATATCTAGTGCTTCATTCTTTATACATTTCAATTGCTGCAAAGTAGAAAGGCTTGCAAAATTAGCATTTCCATACATAAATAAACCTTTTTAGTAACTTCCAGAAGTCTATGTTTAAAATTGCAAAAACAGATGAGTTAAGTTAAATATTCAAAAGGTAAACATGGCTTATGCCTCACTTAACAAGCGTGTGCACAGCGGTCTGTCACATGTTCTAAATCAAAGTCCTAAAATGCTGAGGAATCAGCATGAAGTTCAGAGAGCACACTTCACCTTTTCATTCTTATTTTAAAACTGATTTTCATATCTAGCTGCTCATGCCCAGATTTAATAAAATGCCTTTGAGAATAATTTATTAGAACTTGTTCTCCCATTCCCCCTCTCAAGCTCAAATAGTCCAATAATTTAAATAGCAAGGCAAAGAGAGACTACAAGACGCTTACTGGCAATATCTCTTTCAATCCGCTGCGCATAAATTCATTTCTGATATGAAGCCTAAAATCCAAATCATCAGGAGATGTAACGAGAGCATTGATGAGCTGCATGCAGGCTACCTATAACAGAAGAAATATTAAACCATTTTCTTTCTGAGATTTCAATATGCATCACAGTAAAAGAGACATAACTAACTAGACATTACATCATGTCTAATTATCAGTCTACTGTAGTCTTATAATTAAGATATTTAAATTTCTTATCAACCGCATGAGCTATAGACACCAAAAATTAGTTCACAAATTTCCATTAAAATGAAGTATTTTCTCACTCCATTGAATTTTGTCATTTTATACAAATATCAAGTTCTTTTATTAAATGAACTTTGGCATATAGTAAATACCCTGTTAAGCATAATTCTCAATGTATAAAAATCAATGTAAATACACATTTTTCTGTACATATAAAGTTAGTGACATCACAGCAATGGTAAAGTCTATGTGAACAGTGGAAAACTCATTAGAAGACAAAATGCTGATTAAAACTACACCAAGCCTGAGCAACAAAGTGAACCATTTACCCTTTTTTAAAATACTGAGTGTCATACAATACTTGATGGGGATTAGTACTTCAGCTCAAAAGCAAGCATCCAGTCAACTATGATGCCTGTATCACTCTGTGGTTAACTAGTGAGTAGACTCCTTCACAGAATCCAGACATTTATCTGGAAAACAGATAGCCAGGAACAGCAGGAATTCACAAAACTTCAGCTGATTGAACATGAAACTGTATTAAAGCTAACTACGAAAAAAACCAAAACGTTTGAGGGACAACTTGCAAAAAGCATCCACGATTAAAACATCTTTTTCCTCAAAGATAACAAAAGAATCATAGAATCATTAAGGTTGGAAAAAACCTTTAAGGTAATGGAGTCCAACTGTTAACACTGCCATGTCCACCACTCAACCTTGTCACTATACGCCACATCTACACATCTTTTAAATACCTCCAGCAATTGTTGTTCAAAGACAACCAGAGTATCTGCAACATCAGTAAGAGACCATGGTGAAAAGGAGCACCCAAAGAAAACAAAGACCACAGCAACATTTGATAAAGTGTTCTACTACTGTGCAAAAGGAGTTCCCTAAGCAGAACAGAGACACAAACAGGTTCAAGGGTTGGCAGAAGAACTTAAAGTCAACAATCAGAAGTCACAGAAGTGTATTGACACAAGTGTTTCGAAGAAAACTGAGGACAAAATAACTTTAGTACTAGCTATTGCATTTAAGTTCTTTCTTAGAAGTATGTTGACACCCAAGAAAAGGAAGATCGCAGCAAGTAGATTGATATTTACAAGGACATATTCAGAAAGATCTGGACGACTACGGACTGGTAAGCTTGGCTTTTCTATAGTGCAAATATATTGAAAGTATAATAGAGAACAAAAATAATGAGTAACATGAAAAATCCAACATGAACAAATGAACAATTTGAATAAATGCAACATGGTTTTATAAGGCAAGATCTTCATTCACAAACTCACAAAAGTCGTTTGAAAGGCTCAAGGAGCGGGCAAGAACACACTGACTGGCCAAAGTCTGGAGTTCAAAAAAGTTTGTAAAACGTCAAAAACATTTAGAAAAAATTTAGAGAACAGCTGTTAAGCAGCCAAATTCCAAAATACTACAACATAGTATTGAATTTGATGTTTAGGAGTTTATTTTTAAAAAAAAAAAAAAAAAAAAAAAAAAAAAAAAAAAAAAAAAGAAAAGCAGCTTTTAGGGCTCACAAATTATTTGGCTGTATTAAGGTTTGTTGAAGTAGTATTTCCTTGCTACTTTTTTTCCTACTGCAAATCCATCTTCTTATTTTACGCTAGTAAAGTGTGCAACATGTAGATAATTAATAAAAATATCAACAGAATAAACCACGCATAAGGCTAGAAACTGAAGGCAATGAAAGCCTGTTCATGTCCTTTTTCCATATTCTTTATAGTGAGATTAATTACACCATCATCTAATGAATAACAATAAAAAAACCTACACATATTAAATACCAATATACCTATGGTGTGTTTTCTTCAGAAAGGTACTGGCACATTACTAGCAGTTAATTTTAAAAGAACTCACTTAAACAGGAACATAGGTAACAGGACCACAACCTGGACCATTCTGTCTTAAATAAATTATGTTCCCTTGAGAAAGATCTTTCAGATTTGGAGCTTCTTTAAAGTTATAAACAGAAACAATCCTCAGTTATTTTTCTGTGAGCAACCCACCTGGAAAGCTGCTAAACTGATAACAATCTGGGGCTTTAACCATCACTGTGGACTCTTCATCTTTGTAGTGTCTGTCAGAACTATTCTTACGACGCTTCTCCCTGAAACCTGTTATTTCCCAAATTTTATGCAATTCAATTCCATATATATATATCTGTCTACAGTATTTTAAAAAACTCTACGACAATATGAGTTTTTTAACTTATTTATTTTCTCAAAATAAATCCAAACAAAGCCTTGTGTTACTCCTGAAGCCTGTTTCTGTGCATGTACTGTTTCTAAGAGTTATTCTAGAATGTTTGTTACCGCTGAAGCATCACCCTACACCAGGTAACAAGAATTGGTGATAACCCCAGAGAAGGAAACTACAAACACCAAAAGATAAATAAAAAGAAAATCCTAAGACTTACCCACATCCCAACGCCACACAACAATAACAAAATCTTTAAAACCAAGGTGCCCAGTCCAATTCTCCAAAGTGGACTGAATAAAACCTTCCAGCAATTGTCTTAACAGCATCCAACAGAGAAGATATTCGGACTCTCCTGTTGCACTACCTAGTATTTTTGGACACTGAAAAAGCTCCTCATATTGAATAATTGTCTATCAAGTCCTTCACAATCTTGTTGAAAACACGTGGCCTTGTAGTCCAGCTACTTTTCCTAGCAACAGGCTACACACTTTGTATTAATTAACCCTACACACTGCCAGACTTGTCAGGCTTTATCCAGAGATTTGGCTTATTTGGCTGCAACAGGATTTGTTTAGTAACAGAATGACTACCACCCCACTAGTTTTAGGTTTTGTTTAACCTTGTACAAGTTTGTGGCACAAAATTTACTGTTACACACACTTCTATAACTAGCAGATAGCAATATGTCCCTAAACAAAAAGCAGCATAGAAAACTAGAGGCATGGGATGCGAGCAGACACATGTGCCAGCACTACTGAGACCAATGTCATTAGACCATTAAGACTTCATTTAGACTAACAACAAATCCTTGGCTTCAAATTTAAGGTGTATTCCTTAGCCCCACAGGTTGCTGTGTCACAACAAGGGGGAGAATCTGATTAGCCTCATAATTTGGATGCAATAAATGATAGAAAATGCAGGCAATCAAACCAGCTAAAATTTAGTACAACAATACCTTGCAGGATATATTCTCTTATTATCTAAGTATGGGCTGTATTCTTTATTCTTAAACCTTTTTGTTATTTGTTTTGGTGTGGGGCCACTTTACTAAACCATCCACTTTGTCAGTATGGATATTTTTCTTCAACAGGCACAGTGAAAATTTTTACTTCCCCTAATTCTGAGCCTCTTTAGTTGAAACGTGTTGCACCATCACTGATTTAACTCTCTGGAGTGCCAAGTCTTTCATTCAGTTGCATTTTCTTGATTCAGTTAGCTCTGCCATTCAAAACCAGTAATTCAGTACACTGACAGATGCCACCAACACCTGTACTCCTGCTAACATCAGCGAGGCATTTCAGTGACTGGAGACTTCATCAGACAACACCATCACACAGTCAGTAATAAAGTAATAAACTGCAAGGTTACATTTACATTTCAAATAAAATCCAACTCCATGTTGTTTGATTACATCAGAGTTGGAACCTTCGTTATAGTTGTCAGCGGTTTAAAACACAGTATATTTTCATGCCAAACTTTGTGTGAATGGGCTGCTAAGAAAGGAATCAGCATTTATCACACTTGATTTAAACTATCAATGAAGAGGCAGTCAGAGACTGAACAAAGTCTGCTACGGTGAAAATCCTGATCAAGAGCAAAATACAGCTTTATCTTTGAGGTAGCAATGCAATTTAGATGAAAGGATGGCTACAGATGTAATTGCTGCCAAAAAAAAAAAAGGTATTTTCTTTTCATTTGCCAAATCAACAAGGTACATGTGCACGTGTGCTATTCACATAGAACAGAGACAAGAAAGGACAATGAAAAGCAAGAAACACATCAGTCAGAAGTACTGTTTTTCTAGTACTTTAGTCAAATTTGATCAAGTGGGAATTCGAATGCTGTTCATAACCAGAACGTACTTTAGCTTTCCTGGAATAAACAAGACAAAGAACTACTGGATTATGTTTCTATGGGAAAACAAAGGCAAAGTAGTAGTGCAAGTTCCCAACAGAGGTCTACAAAAAGCAGAATGAGAAAAAGTTATATCAGAGGAAAAAAACACAAGCCTAAGCAAGGCACTGTTCAGACATCTACCTTTGAGTAATTTGCATCAAGAAAACTTACAAAAAAAAAAAACACAAGAAAATCAAGAAGTAAAGTCTGTCATGGTAACTTTTTTTAAATTACAAAGATAGAGGTATGTGACTTTTGTTTAGAAATACCTGATTATGACTTTCTCATCCCTAAGTACTGAAATCTGTTTAAGAACCTGCTTCAAAAATTCTGAACATTCAAATACAGATTGGTATTTAGAATTATTAAATTACCAGAAAGCACTACTGACTTCATATCTAACAACAGTCAAGCAATAAGTTTGTCCCCTGCTTCTAGAGTGCAGCTGCTAATCAAAGAAATGGAGTAGAAATAACAGATATGGTAATTTCTTCCAGAAAAAGTGCACTGGAACACAGGAAATTCTCTCTCAACATGAGGAAAAGCTTCTTTACTTTGAGGGTGACAGAGCACTGGAAAGGTTTTGGAGTCTCCTTCTCTGGAGACATTCAAAACCTGCCTGGACACGTTCCTGTGTGACCTGCTCTAGGTGAACCGGCTCTGGCAGGGGTGTTGGACTAGATCTCTGAAGGTCCCTTCCAACCCCTACCGTTCTGCACTTCTCTGGTAATGACTTCCTTATCCCTGCTGGTGATGCCCTTGTTGATGCAGCCCAGCATCCTCTTGGCTTTCTTTGCCGCCGCAGCACACTGTTCCCCCACCTTGAGCTTGTTGTCCACCAAGACCCCCAGGTCACTTTCCACAGAGCTGCTCCCCAGCCATGTAGATTCAAGCCTCTGCTGCAGTCCCAGATAGTTTTCCCAGTTGCAAGACCTTATACTTGTCCTTATTGAACTTCATAAGGTTCTGTTTGACCCACTCTTCCAGCCTATCCAGGACTTCCTGCAGGGTGGCTCTCCCTTCCAAAGTGTCCATTTGACCATTTGGTTTGGTATCATTGTCAAACTTCATCAGGGTATACTTGATCCCATCATACAGATCACTTATGAAGATATTAAACAATGTTGGACTCAATATCGATCCCTGGGGGACCCCACATGTGACAGGTTACCAGTTTGAAAAGGAGCTATTTACTACCACCCTCTGGGTATGCCCTGTCAGCCAGCTCCCCACCCACTGCACAGACCACTTGTCTAGACCATAGTTTCTCTAGGAGGAGGCTGTGAGGAACCATGTTGAAAGCCTTCAAGAAATCCAGGTAGACAGTTCCATCGCTCACCCCACCTCAACTGAGTAGGTTATGTAGTCATAGACAGTGATCAGGTTTGTCAAGTATGACTTGTTCTTGACAAACTCCTGCTGGCTTTTCCCAGTCACGCGCTTTATTTGACTTGTGATAGCCTTCACAAGATGATAGAAGGGTTCATTCCATAAGTCTCCCAGGGACTGAACTAAGACAGATGGAGCTATAATTTTCTGGATCCTCCTTTAAGGACTTCTTGTATATGGTGGTGACATTAGCCTTCTTCCAGCCTCCTGGGACTTCCCCTGATCTCCACAACTTCTCAAAGATTACGGAGAGTAGCCTCGCAATGACATCAGCCTGCTCTCTTAACACTCTCAGGTGGATATTGTCAAGGCCCTTAGATTTGTAGGGATCAAACTCTTGTAATAGTTCACAAACCAACTCTTCCTTCACTGACAGTGGATCTGTGTTTGCATCAACCAGGATTGTTGTTCTCAAGGCCTGGGGCCCAACAGTGATGGAAAAGACAGAGATGAAGAAAGTTCTGAGACCTTCTGCCTTTTCAGCATTGCCAATGGCTAATACACCTCTCCTGTGTAACAGCAGGCCAATATTTTCCTTCTGCTTCTGCTAGTTGTTTATGTACCTAAAGAACCCTTTCTTGTCGTTTTTGACAACTCTGGCCAGTTCCAATTCAAGGTGAACTTTTGCTTTTTTAACTGCATCTCTGTATGCCCTGGCAACCCTTGTAGTTCTCAAGTGGCATTTGTCCACTTTTCCATCTCTGGTACATGAGAGATGCCTGGCTGTATTTGTATTCTCAAACTATCATCATCCATCTTTTCGTGAACCAAAACCATTTAAGTATGCTTTCCATCATTTTGGATTTTATTAAAGATAAAAGGGAGAATATCCTTTGCTTTCAACAAATGCAAAAACTAGATACATAGAGCTTTCACTAAAAGTACAAAAATCATCATATTGAGGCTTTTTATATATTCAGCCTTCAAGTACCAGAAACGTTAGTCAATTCAAAATTGAAAAGGTCAGTTGTTAGTGTCAAACTGAACTGCCACAAAGCAAGCCTACATATATCAAGCAGATAATCAAGGCAAGTGTGCCAAGTAACTGACAACTGTAAGCTTCTGTCTCATTAAAACACTGTCAAATTAACCACCAGGTCAATGTCATTGTTATAGAAGTTTACTACAGATACACACGAGGAACCTTGATTTTTCTGGTCTTAAAAAAAGAAATCTAGCAACCATTTGTGGAGTCCGAAAAAAAAAACCAACCAAAAAAAGACTTTCATCAGAAAAACATTCAAATGGAAGCTTAAAAAAAAAAAAAAGAGAACTCTTATTAAAAGCTTCTATGTCTACATAAAATACAACAAATTAAACAGCAGAACTTTACCTGTTTTCGAGAACTTTAGGGTAACGCTCTCAGTAAAGCCAAATCAATATATTTAGCTTAAGTATTGCAATTGTAACATTTAGAGTAAATTCTTGCAAAAATACCTGAAGTAAAAATCTGCTACTACAAGAAATTTATGTCTAATCCAGGAATTCAGACTCAAAAGTTATCTTACAGTCTACACTTTCCTTCTGCAGTCCCTTTCCAGTCCCACTATAACTGCAGCTCAAAGTTTTTTCTCCCTCTCCTTGTTAATCCTAACTCTAGGCTGAGCCTTACACAAAACATCCCAGCCAGTGCCCAAATAAAAAATGTTTACTCTACAGTTCTCCTCACAGCCCCTTTCCAACCCAACTCCAGCCCTATCAATACAGGTCTCCTTTTTGACCCTTAAAGGCAATTATTATGATTTTCATACATTAACAAAATCACAAATCCGAAAACAGAAAATTGGCAAATTTTTATTCACTAAGCCAGAATCAAGATCTGCTACATGAAACCAGTATCAACCTGATATAATTTTAAAAACAGTCAACAAATGAGATATAAGAAACAAAATATCCTGTATTTCCAACCAATAAAAATTATTGCTGGAGGGGAAAACCTTCCTGACCCTTAAGTTGACTGACTGAGGTTCCTAAGCAACTTTGATTCGGTTTTCATTCAAAACTTTAACTCAGTGTAGTAAATCCACACTGACATAAACAAATGTTTACAAGATTAAAAATAAACAAACAAAAAATCAAATTAAAGAATCACCCTCTCCTCAGTTATCACCTCACCTGACAAATTAAACCATGGCTAAGTATTCCTACTGCCAGAAAACCAAGCAGTAATTCAAAGATTAATGGTTAGGACTGCAAGATTTAAAGTAAAGGAAATAAGAATAATATTGCTATCTGATCTCTTGCTCAGGACAGAGAACACAAGGATACTTATGCATACTACAACAAAAACCAAACAAAAGTAACAGAAGACAACCATTTCTGCATCAAATCAAAGTAACTGAATTTAACTGACTTTATGCTGGACAGTAATTTTCTGTCTCTCTCATCTTTATATGATATTCCCTTAACCTCAGTTTAGCACTCCTAGAATGTGTATTCTAGAATGTACCTCAGAAAACAAAGTATTTTGTATTTTGGTAATTTGGGTTAAAAAAAACAAAAACAAAACAAAAAAAACACTAAAGCCACAAAACACAGTTTGTTTACTCAAGTTATACTACAAATTAATATCTAGACTACTAAAAAGGGCTAGAAAGCAACTTACTCAGAAACTACAAATAAAAAAGGTAAATAAATAAAAAGCTCTATTCTAGAATGAAGAGGCATGAAACCACATAATAGGAAGCTGAAGATGGGAGCAGCAAGGGATGCCATCCAGAGGGGCCTTGACAAGTTGGAGAAATGAGCCCACGTGAACCTCATGAAGTTCAACATGGCCAAGTGCCTCAACCTGCATTTGGGTCAGGGTGATCATGAATATAAGAGCAGGTTGAGTGATGAATGAATCAAGAACAGCCCTTCAGAGAAGGACTTGGGGATATTCTTAAATGACAAATCAGGTATGAACTGGCAACGTGCGCTTGCAGCCCAGAGAGCCAATGGTATCCTGAGAAGTTGTGGCAACCCCATCCCTTGAATTGTTCAAGGTCAAGTTGGTTGGGGCTTTGAGCAGCCTGATCTAGTGAAAGATGCCCTTCCATGGCAGGAGGGTTAGAACTAGATGATCTTTTTAAGTCCCTTCCATACCAAACCATTATATGATCATAAGACAGAAAAAGAAAGGAGGGACAATTATGCCACTGTTACTGGCATAATTCAAATACAAATGATTCTCCACCTTCAGATATTTATTTATTGTTAGCTTTTCTGTGAGACACGAAACAAACAGCAATCTTTACTGTCAGACAGGGACTATTTAATACAAAAGGTGACAGTGGAGTAACACGATCATTTCTTTTAAACTTGAGATTCATCTTTTACCATTTTTCTAATATTCACAAAAAATGACAATTATAAACAGCGTTCAGCTAAATTACATGAAAATCAATGAGTTAATATTTACACTCTTAGACCAATGATTTACAATGATCATTCAAATGCACTGTAATGCTTTATGTCTTTCTGTGGTAAATTCCACATCCAATGGAAACAAATTGAAAATAAGGTGAAAGATTTCTTTCCTCGGACTCTCTGGGTGCAATTTTATAAAATCATAAAGTCGGCACGAGGGACACATTTCCTGCTGATTTAGACATAAACTATAAGAAACAGTTGCCTAAAAACTTGCTTTTTTACTATTACTGATTTTTAAGTTTCAGCAAATATCACCAGAAGTGAGATAATCTTTTTGCACCTGAATATATGACTTATGCTTTATTTTTAAATGCTGTATAAATTTAATTCCCAAAGCCCGTAGGATTTGGGTGAATAGAAACCAACAAATTAACCTGGAACACTCTTCTGTTTCCCAACACTGCATCTTCCCACAGTGCATTTTGAAAGATAACATTATGAACAACATTCCAAAATTTGACCCTTATTTGAAAACAGTATCCCTCCTCCTTTTTATTGTAATGGCTTGTTGAATACAGAAAACTAAGTAACACTATTTCCACTTGTTGCAGAGGTTTGCGAAAAAAATGTGCTTACTTGCAGCTGAACTGAGTTATCCTGAAGACCTTCTACAATAGGAGAGAATCTGTCAACATTCTTTTCCTCTGCTGCTGCTGTTATAGCTTCCAAAATTTTTTCAAGGCTGTAAGAAAAGAAAAGCACTTAACTCAGGAGAGGTATTTAATCTGCTGTCCATTTGTTATCTGAAGAGCCATGTTGCCAAAGTGTTCACATGCCTCAATTTCATGTGTACAAATTTAGGAGGTTTAAGCATTACTTGTTTCCTTTGGAGACTTTTGTAGCCAAAGAATGATTTACTAGATTACAATGGTTAAGATACCTTAAAAGTAATGCCAAAAAATGTTAAGCAAAAGAATGGCTGCATAACTGCTTCCATCTAATCAGTACATCCACATATGAAAAAGAAAACTCATATTGATACGACCATAATAAAAATTACAGTTAAAGGTATTCTGAAAACTGACAACATAGTACAGATATTTCTTTCAAACCCAAGTTGAAAATGTTGGCATTTCATTCAGGTATAACTATAATTTGGGATATCATAAAATTACCTTGCTATTTCTGGCTAAATACAAGTACTTACATATTTTCCTCTCCAACAATGCACATTGCAGAAAGGAGCTTAACTATATCTGTCATCATGTTAGTTTGCTTGGGATCAATTGCTTTGATCAGCAACAAAAGGCTTCTCTCTTCTCCCAAAATTCTTTCCAATCCATACTAAACAACAGAAAAACAGTTGTTAAGGAGAGTTGGAGGGAATCCAAATGACTGTATTGAATATCTAGTAAAAGACAACAACAGTTCCCTCAAGTAACTATTTCAAATGACATTTAAGTCTGTCAAATGCTTAATTTAAAAAAAGGAGAGAAAAGTCCAAAACGGGTCACTTACTCTGTAATGAGGGCATACATCAGCATCAAAAGTTTACACTATTCTCTGAGTGTATTTCTGCAGAGAGGAAGTGGCAGCAGAAAGAACTTCAAACTACATCTGAGCAACACACTACTTTTCCAAATTGCACAGGCTTATACCGACTGATCGTGTACGTTATTTGATTGAACTGTAGCAATTCAGATTCCCAGATTAAATAAAATCCCATACCTTATTATTCATGAAGGCTCTCAAGCACTGTATAACCTTATGCTGACTCCTCTTCACAACTTTGTCCTGGCTGGATAAATAAAAAATTTAGTGTAATTAACTGGTATTTACATGTTGAGACAAGCTGGCAATTTTATATGAAGCCATCCTTACTTTTTTGTTTCAACCAATCTTTCCAAAACATCCAACAGCAGCCCCAGACCTTCTCGGCCAAAGTTTTCAACCCAGCTAGGGAGAAAGAAAAAAAACACATTAAAAAAATTGATATATCAACGACTAATTACAAGGAATTAAAATCGTCAGCATAAATAAAAGCAACAATAAAGAAATGTCAGCATAAATAAATTGATCAGAATTACTAAAAAAAAATACAATATTTGTTTTATTTGCATTATAGCCTCTCCACTGTTTTCTGGTTTGTCTGTTTACATGCCATTGTACACATTGGGTAAAATGTATTTATCATCACTTAGGAATACTAACCAGAATATTTAGATACTCTTATAATGGTGGCACCTTACTAGTAACAACTAATAACCTATTCTGTTGGGAATAACACAAAGTATATGCAACAGCTCTTTTGAAATACATAGTTCCTCCAATCCCATCATAGGATGGAATTATTAAGTTCTTCATATCTGCTTGATACAGAACTGTAATGGACTTAGGAAGAGAGAACCAGATCAGATGATTTTATACATTTTTCCCCTAAGAGTCTGGCAGAAATGCATTTTCTCCTTCTTGGATGGATGTTTTGTTCTAAAACAGATAAGGCAAATAACTGTCAATTGGTTTTGGTATAACTGGCCATATCTGACCTCAAGATGATCCTACTAGACATTTCTTAGCACATTTTGTCTTAGACAAAATCGTGCACAGCCACTTTGTCATACATCCAGCAGCTGAGGCTGCTGAGAATGATCACGTGCCTAAAATAACGTTACGTTATTACTGACCTTTACTTCCAAAAAAGAACAGAGAATACTTACACTATCCAGAGGAAACATCCAGTTTTTTGTCAGTCTGACAAAATACCAAGATATCAGTGCCTCTATTTTCAATTTTTTAAAAAGATCCTCTTAATGAAAAGAGCTAAGTCTGCTGTAACTATTTCTAAAGGCAGAAAACTAGTTGTCTGTAATACTATGTACAGCTGTATCACTGAACCACTTTTGATGAATTGTGTCGGCAACTCTAAGCCAAAACCACCACATTTATTTACCTGAAGAACAGTGACCCAAGATCAGTGGATACGTTTTCCTTTAGAGGCTTTATTTTTACACTGACGGAAGATAAATACTACTTTTTGCAATAAGGCATAGATTGGAATACATCATTATTTAGGATCAAACTACTCAATATCACTTGATTCAGATTTTCTCCGTGAACTAAAAAATACGTTTTACAAAAATGACTAATGGAAAACAACGTTGTAGAACCAGTTCTTGCATCAGAAACCGAAATGTCAACAAGTTTAAAAGTTAAAGCGATTGAAGTATAGTATTTGGAAAAGCAGCAAAAAAACCCTAAATTATATATTGTCAAAAAGATCACAGCCCACAAATGTGAAGATTGTCAGGCAAGATCCAATCTATATTTAATTCTCATCCTGTTAAAAAAGCATGAATTTATTCTTAGTCATTACACATGCACGAAATAAAGCCCCAAAGTTTTATCAGTTATTTCTCATTGTCCATATCATATGAGGCTGGAGTTAGAACTAAACGTGGGTTTATAGGAGCTGGACTGGAGTTCTGGATTAATGTGTCAAAGCAAGTTCCTACTCAAAGAACTGGCTGCTGATAGGAAAATCAAGGGCACTAACATCTGCATCCAATGAACATCGACTACTGTTATTCATTAGGAAGAAGAGGACATGGTTTAAAAAAAAGTTTACTTCACAAATTGTTAGTATGAAGAACAGCATCCTACTGTTATTTTTGTATTTAAGCCCTATGGGAGAACTTTAGTTTTTACTAAGGCTATTTTAAAATGCTCTGTTTACGTCTAGCAAAGTCTATCTTACCAGCCTTTTTCAGCACCACTCAATCACCAGAAGACTGTTTCAGAGCCCATATGTTCTATTGGTTGTGATCCTTCTTTTGATTTGTTGACTAAAATGCATTCATGGACAAGTAGTAGAGTGGGTTGTTTTTATGAAACTGCTGCCTACTTAAATAGCTCTTCTCTGGTGTTTTTGCAAGCCACAGGCAGTCTCCTTCCAATTCAAACTTCACAAATTCAGATCTATTCTTAGGCCATAAATCCATTAACTTAATAATGAGCTTCACTCCAATCCCAGTATTAAGAGTTCTTTTATGTTGTCTGTTCCATTCTGCCTAATGTTTCAAACTGAAGTTAAATATTAATAAATTATGGTCAAAGCAGGACTTGGATTCAACTGTCCAATTTTCTACCTACCATAGTTTATATTGACTGAACAAAGTTAAAAGCCAGTGTTGCAATCCAGAATTAACTGTACTAATAAGTTAAAGAAACTCATCTCTCATAAGTATCAATGCAATACTTAGACACCAACAATGCATCATACCCTTCTAGCATGCTTTGGACTGACATAAAATACACTAAGCTTAAGAAAATGAAAACATTTGTTTTTTTCTTTTCTTCGTGGACAAAAGCACTTGCTCTCTTCTGCATACTCATAACGTATCTACAGATTTCTAATCCTTTCCTTACTAAAAGCGAAACATTTGGGGAAAACCTACGTAGTCGAAAGTTTCAAAATATTTAGTTGCTGTAAAACTTTAAAGTTTCTGTACTTTCTTCTTCCAGATAATATTGATCATCAGACTTTTGGTATTGATCACAGTCCAATTCAACTTGCATTCTTTATCCAATCTCTGAAGTACAGACCAACACCAGTCTCCTATAGCTGGCCTCCAAATTCCTTACTTTGATGCCATTTCTCCATCTTCCTCACCTCTTCATGTCTTATCACGTTGTACCGTGCTGTCAGGCAGAACTAGCACCTCACAAAGATCCTGGGGTTTGGTTTGGTTTGTTTTTCTGAGGGAGGGGGATTAACTTCTCCCCTGGTATGTGGGGAAGGCACAGTAAAGGGGGTCACATACAAAAAGATGAAAATATCCAGTCATATCAAGAAAAAAGTGGAGAGATTGCTCTAAACTTAAATTGCCAAACATTTCATGCATTTTGTGTTTCTATTTCCAGATGCATACTAATAAGTAAAGTTTCCTTTGTTAAACCAACTTAAGTAAAATTAAAAAAAAAAAATCTATGGCCTTGTGGGCTGTTGTTTTGTTGTTTGTTTGTTTTTTTATTTAAACAAAGTAGCAGCAGCAATACTGCATCAATAAGTAGCTTCGCAGTCATGGAGCAAGTATATCTTCTGCAAAATGTTGTGTCAGAAAAACTCAGGTTAACGTAAAGTGAATTTCTTCCCATGTGAGCATTTCAATTCAAAACTGAATTAATAGAAGGAAAGAAGCAAACACCCATCCAGAAAACCCACATCAACAACTCTGCCCTGCCAGATGCAGAAAGAAGTTGTTTAATCCTTCTTTAATCACTCACGTTCCGTCAGAAGCATCCCAAACATTTCATTTATATTATTTTTACTTAAACGCAAAACAGTTTTCTAAAATCATGTGTTCAACCACTGGCTTAAATAGGAAGTCTAAAACAAAAAGGTTGTAAACAGAATAAAAAAAAATAAATCAAATAAAGCCAGCACCCACAAATCAAGTTGCATGGATCACATCAAAATTAAACATAAAGACTAATACCAATGTTTGAGTTAGGATTACTGAAGAGTTAGCCTTTTTTTTAAAAGCATAGGTAAAATAACGTGTTCTCTTCTGTATAGATAAACCTTACAGATACAGCAAAAATTACTAGAAGACAGCAAGGAAGAAAGCCTAAAGCACACTGGACAGAAGGAGGAGCACATAATTAAAAGTATCTATTTTTTCTGGCTAACAAACTTACATCAAGGTTCCTATCTCCCATTATCTATTACCCTGGCAAAGCGAAACGGTTAAAGAGTTAAGAGAATATTTCAAAAACAATAAAAAAACATTTTGACTATTCAGCACTAGAAAATAAACTGCAATAAACTTGGTTTACATTCTCTTAGCATTAGCTTTATTACTTTGTACAGATCAGTGAACTTCACTGAAAAACAAGTCTACAGAAGGTACGTAATCAATGAAAAAAACAATAAAAGGTAGAATCATTCACTAGTGCATACACATGCATTAAATGGAAAACCTTGAAACATGCACATCTATAGATCCATTAATTTTAATCCATTAGGAAATAAGAATACAATTAATCTTTGCAATATGTGTTAATGATGTTACCTGACAGGATTACTAGTCAAGGACACACGGAGAGATTCTAAGCAAGTGACTAGTCTTTCATCTGTTGACCCAGATTTTAATTCCTGAATAAACTCTTGGGCTGAAATCTTCCGACTGTTCTTGAGACTTCCCTGAAATAAAAAAAGCATTCATTTTTCATTTGGCGCACATAGAACTCAGATAGATTATTAATGGTTAACCTTCATTTCCGTCCCTTGAAAAAACAGAGAAAGAGAGACATAATTTAGACCTAAACCAGTAACTCTTTGTTGTCCATCTACTACATATGCTAAATGCTGACTAAAATTTTGTTAATTTATGAACAAATGTATAATCAGTAGTCAAAAGCAGCAGGAATCAAACGTGGAAACCTATCATGCACACTTGGTGAAATACAATTTTTGTAATGCATTAATTCTGTTTATGCATTTCAAACATCTTAATGTTCAATACTCAGCAGAAGAAAAAAAAAAACCAAACCAATTCTCTGGTGCTCAGAAGAGATCAGATCACGCATCAGAAGCATGACTGCAGTCATACAGGAAGACAGAGGGGAGAACCAGTGCATGCACCAGAAGAGTACTCAGGATGTTAATGCAGTAACATGAGTTCTTACAGATAATGTTGTAAAACTCTTTTCCCTTAAAAGTCCTTCAGATGAGAAGTATATGAGACTGGGATTATAAAAACAGACTAGCTTTAGCCCTTAAAGCTAAAGCAAAAGAACTTAAAAAATTTTTTTTAAAAGAAAAAAATACTTTTTTAGAATCACTAAAGTTCTAAAGATAAATCTCAGCTCCTCATGTGTTGCATTTGTCATCTATAAGCAAGCAAATAAGACTATTGAGGCAAAAACTTAAGGACATTTACTCAACCTTCCCAAACTTCGAGTTTGGATTTTGCCTTGCTTTTTGGGTTTTGCTCTTTTTGGCAAGTGAGGAAGGAAGTGAGGACATGGAGAACAGGGAGATAGAAAGGAAAATGCAATGGCAAGGTAATGCAGCACCACAATAGATTTGTGGAAATAAAATGTTTTCTGTTTCAAACAATATAGGTTGAACAACAGTGACTTCAACTCATCATTGTACCTGTGGCATCAAATGTTGCTTAAAATAAATTCAAGATATGAATGATTCTTCTAAAGCATATATAGTATCCATTGTTTTCAACAAAGCAATAGTTACAATGAACTAATAAAGTTCTATAGTTTCCAATTAAAACAGCAAATGTAAAAGGCATTGACCCTATTCCTAAGAGTATCCTCCTCTCCTTTTTTTAAGTAGCAGCAAAGAAAAAATTTGTATACAGTGGAAAATAAGAAGTCTACTCCACCTAATATCCATTTATGATATGAAAAAGGATAGATATCTAAATTCAAAAAAAGAGGCATAAAATGGGTTATACAACCTGTATTTGACTTCATTGAAAGAACTTCTTGTTTGGAGAGAAGCAGCACAACTATTCTGTCATGTAGCACTAAAGACGGTTACTAAATAATATTTGATTATCTCGTGGCTTAAGTCAGGAGCTGAAGATAATTAGACTTGCAGTGCAATAACAGCTTGAAATTATCCACTGTAAATGGTGAGGCAGACTCATTATGTTATTATACTGAGCTTCACAGGGAAGATGTTTTCTCACTGTGGTAGATCCTCAAAGTGTTGAAAAATAAACTTTTCTCCTCCTGAAGTAGAAGATCATGAAATAGTTTCTAGCGGAGAGGTGAATTTAAAAACTAGGAAGAGTAGCTGACAGACCAGACTGCTGTGCTGCCATTCAGAGGGACCTCAACAGATAGTAATCATAGAATCATAGAATGGTATGGGTTGGAAGGAACCTTAAAGATTGGCAGGGACACCTCCCACTAAACCAGGTTGCTCAAAGCCCCATCCAGCCTGGTCTTGAACACCTCCAGGGATGGGGCATCCACAACTTCCCTGGGCAACCTGTTTCAGTGCCTCACTACCCTCACACTAAAGAATTTCTTCCTGCTATCTAATCTAAATCTCCCTTCTTTCAGTTTTTAACCATTTCCCCTTGTCCTATAGCTACACTCCCTGATAAAGAGTCCCTCCCCAAAAATGGGGAGAAATGGGCAGGGGAATTTCAGGGAGTTCCACAATAGGAAACACTAAATCCTGAACCTGGGGAGGAATAAAAAAAAAAAAAAAAAGAGTCCTGGTGGGTGTCAAGTTGACAACAGGGAAGTGCATCCCCAGCTGGTCAAGGCTGGGGATCCTTTCCCTCAGCTCAGCAATGTTGAGACAAAGCTGGAGTACTGTGGCCAGTTCTGGGCTCCCCAGAATGAGAGACATAGACATATTGAAATGAGTCCAGAAAAGGCTGGGACACAGTTACAAAGTCACCTGTTCCACAAGGAGAGGTCGATAGAACTGGGATTGTTTAGGCCCAAGAAGAAAAGGCTGAGGGGAACCCGATCAGTGAAAGGACGAAAGGCACAAATTGAAATACAGGAAATTCATTAAACAAGACAATCACAAACTTCTCCCCTCTACCCTTATTTTTTAATTTTTTTTTTTAACCATAGGGCTGGTCAAGCACTGGAACAGGTTGCCTAGGCAGACTGTACAGTCTCCTCTGTCAGAAATATTAAGAAATGGACTAGATAAGGCGTCGGACAAGACAATCTCAAGAGGTCTCTTCCAGCCTCAATCATTCCATTCTATGACTTTCTGATAAGAGAACACTGGGTGACTGCTGGGGGCTATGATACCTCTCTGGTCCAACTGTATCCAACAGATTTGAGAAATATAAGTTCCAGATGCCAAAAAACAAACTACTGCCAGGAACCACCCTGAAAATATAGCTACTCTGCTAATACCCACAGTACCAAGTACCACTCATTCATAGTTACACCAAGGTTCTGCAACATAATAAGAATATGATACATCTGCCAGTGCTTAAATAAAATGAGAGCTGCATTTGGTACCAATTGTGAAACTGATTATATTAGCTATATTTCTGCATGGGAAAGCTGCTTAAGTTTAAAATGCTCGAGTTGACTGAGAAACAGGAAATATCTTGAGGCATCAGTGCCTCTAGAAATTTAATTGCTCAACTGAAAAACAACCGGTCTGTGAGCAGATGCAGTCTGAAGTCAGCATTAATTAATTCAGTTAAAACATTACAAGGGAGTAAGCTGCACAACAAAAACGAAGTCTTGTGAAGAAAACTCACTTTAAAAACCCAGTGTGCGTGTGTTCAACATATAGAGCAGCAAAACCTACAGGAGAGTAACATTATAGCAATGCTGCTTTTATTTCCACTTGAGTATTAACTCCGTAACATGGAAATTTGTTTTTAAATTTTTTCTAGACTGGAACAACAGGTCTTATCATTCTGAGAATGAACAGTTTTCTGCACAATATGCTGTTAATTTCAGGGAGTTCGAAGAGGCTTAGCTAAGAAACAAAATTACTGAACAGAAAGTTGATTCTGTTCTACATCAAACCAGGATATTATGTGTTTATATGTAGAGGGTGATAAGGTCTCCACTCAGCCTCTTCTTTTCTAGGCTGAACCACCCCAGCTCCTTCAGCCTCTCCTCATAAGACTTATTCTCCAGACCCCTCACCAGCTTCGTTGTCCTGAATGCCTTCGTTGCCATTCAATTTAATTTAAGATTTCCAAGACGTGATGGTTTAAACAGTATGTGATATACATCTCCAAGATAATGTTTTTAAGAAGAAATAAGGGCTCATCTAAACACTATACATTACAAGAAAACAAGAAAGTACAAGCAGAATACTGAAGTATTTGAGCAGAATTTTTCCAAGCATGAAATTTTTGCTGTCGTTAAGATTTTCAGTAATTAGTGCTAGCATCCCAAACCCCAAGGCTGTTTATTCTTAGCAATTCAGGAGGGAGCCCCTCAACACATTATGAAGAGTGATGGTAACAGCATACTTACAGACAAACACGAACAGAAGCATGTTCTCAGCCAACTGTTTAAGAAATCTCTAGGCAAAGGGGAGTGAGATGAATGAGCATTAGATGATGGATATCAGTAGAACTCTGATTACTTTTAAGTAACTTTGAGTCCTGAACTGATGGATGCATTTTAAACATCTCTTGCGTATGCAGAGGTAGGTCACAGCATTCTACACTTTAATAAGCACTTGAGCATAGCCCCACCAAACCCAGCATACTGATGTATCTAGAAATTAATAGAGATGTGCTTTGTGAATATTGGAACGTTCTGCATTTCTAAGATGATGAAGCCACTTGGATCAACAAAGGATGCTTCATTTTCAGTGATTAATTAGAGGTGCAGTCTCTTCTCTTCATTTTAATAGTTTTTGTAATGGTAACTGCTTTAAATGAAACCTGCTCAGTACTCTGCGCATGAGGATACTTGTCCCAACACGATATAACTAAGTACCTGCCTCCTTAAAGTTTGAGAAGTATGAACTATCAAAAGATGTTACTGCAGTATCACCTGTGGAAAGAGAGACAGGGATGGGGTACATCATATTCAGGAGCTATATGGCACTTCAGCTCTTCTGAAAAAGTATGACACTAACCAAGTCACAGTACAACAAAACTTAGCCAAATTCCCTGGGCATGCAGTGCATTGCTCTCTAGACTGAGAAGGCACTTGGACAGTGCCAGGCACTAGAGACATGAAAGAGCACACCAGGAACAAAGAGTTTGCAAGGGCAAGAGGAGTTTCCCATCCCAGTACCTCCAGCACCAAGCTGAACTCATCTGCAGCACTACTGGACCAAACAACTGAATCTATGCATCACAGAAACAGCTCCTCCCAGTTATACAATGAGTGAATGCCATTTCCAGTAAGGACACAACAGTAGGACCAGAGTTCAGCAAAGACAAAAGTTTGCTTCCATGAATTAGTCTTCAGTGATGTCCCACAGCAGAAAGGGGGATAGGTGTGCTGGCACCGGAGCAGGGAATGGAAAAGAAAAACTGCTGTTGGGAGGTTTATGAAAACATGTAAGACAACAGTGTGTGGGAACAAATCACTGCCCCGGGTAAGGAAACACATTCTTCAGAGCAACAGAAAAAATGGCTGGTTTGGGCATCGTGCAAGAAGTTCCATTGCCAAAAAACATGTGTGATGACAACCAAAGACAAAAACAACATATATGTATTTCAAATGGCTCTCAGAAGGGACTGATGAAACCTACTCTGCTATAGGCTTCAGTTCTTTGCAAGTATTAAGTGTCAGGAAGTAAAGAGCTAACATGAAAACTTATCTTGAGAAAGAGTCTTAACATCACCATCATCACAGGGCTAAGATTCCAGCAACAGATGCCAGATGCAGTGACTCTGCACAGCCAGACATGTCCTATTGTCACGTTACTTTCTAGATCAAACAACTGAGGTCTTCAAATGCCTGTGGACACTAGGGGTGTCAACAACATTTAAACCTTGCCATGCTGTTTTGGGCTGAGAAACTTCAAGAACGTTGGGAGATTTACTAGCCTGAGGTTTCCTGATTTCACATAAAATCTCTCTAAAAAAGGAAAAACAAGCTAGACCTCCTAATCTTCTGGCACTAAGGAACTTTTATGCTGTAGAAGGACTAGTAGCTATGATAAGCTCATCTTAAAACAATCTCCAGACAGTCCAGTCCTGCAATAGGCAGCTACTTTCCTAAAAGTGCTAGAGCACAACACTAATAAGGTACACCATTTAAAGTAGACAATAAGATAAATACCTCATTTAAATTATTATATTTAATGTCTTCTTTTCTCAGTATTTAGTTATAATTACATATGGACAATTTTTACTGATACCTCTACACGCGTGGAGCAGTGAGAGTCAAAGAATCAAATACATGAATTCTAAAGCAATCAAAAGATCTGAGGACAATATTAACACTGCAGCATTTAGCACTGGAGTCAGTACCCACTTTGAAAAAACTAGAGTATTTTTTTATGCCAACTTAATCCTTAAACTGCCCAGTACACAACTCCTTCCACTTCTCTAAAGTCAGTAATTATTACAATAAGTAAAAAACAGATACTAATTGGGTTCACACGCAACGCTTTCGTTATCAGCTACTACACAGCATCACAACATGAATTCTGAACTGAACCCAAGTATGAAAAAGGCTAATCAGGTAATTCTTTTTCAACAGTGCTAGAAAATTAAAAAGGTTGCCATCAGAATTCTCCAACAAGTTTTCTGCAGAATCTTTCCACCTCAAGTAATAGCCATACCTTTACCAAAAAGAAATGTTGTTCTGTGTACAGAAGACACATCTCAAGTATGAGATAGTGCCTTTTAAAAATGTCTGTGTCTATGAGAACAAAGAAGTAGTTAGTCATAAGAATGCAACATGCAGGCATTACTTATTCTCACTAAAAGGAAATAATGTAAACGTTAAGTAACTTTTGATGCCTTCAGAGAATTTTACTTACAGACTTTGAGGCAGTGCTAATATATTGCATCACCATTTCTTTTTTGGTATTAAAATCCTTTTCTCTCAATGGCATCTTCTTGTCTTCATTTAAATTCATATCTTCCTAGAATGAGATGGAAAAAAAAAGGTGTAAAAAGTTTTAAATGTAATCCAGCAACACAGCTGTTTAACTAGTAAAGACTGACTTTAAAAAATAAAGACACAAAAATATGAACTTGAGCAACTGAAAGCTGTTGTACAAATAACTTTTCATAAACTAGTTGTTACTCAAAACCATAAAAAATACCTTTGTCCATCTTCCCTAGTGACTCAGACTAGAAAAACCAGTCAACCATGCCAGAATAAACATCACAACCATTACTAGCATAATCTCTTCTTAGAAATCACTTGATTTCACACAAAACGTGCACTAAACTACAGAAAAGCAGTATTTAACACTTCCTAAAACATTTCTAAATTTCTTCTAAATTTCTACGTTTCAAACCAGTCTCTTAGAATGATCTTTTTAATGATAAAACAATTTGTTCCATAATTCTGTTCCTCAGTTCCCAAATACTTAATCCAGCGCAGTGCAATCTGCTTTGTCCTGAGAGTAGCTCACAAAGTAATATTCACCTTTGCAATAGGAAAGCCCCAAATCCTTGATGATTTGATCATTAAATCAACACTTTTAACAGTTATCAAAACACCATCACAATTCATTCATTCCAACATAAACCCAGAGGTCAAAAAGAGCAGAGGCAGAAGAACCACATTCTAAGCCATACAGCAGCTATTCATTGACATTTCTGACACAGGGAGCTCTACTGTTCCAGCCTAGAAATGCTCTGATAGCTCCACATCTGTGAGAAATGACGTTTCCTATCAGGCTGGAGTTAGACACACACAAACACACGAAAAAAAGCTTTAAAAAACAATTTAGGCACACACACAAGAACATACAGGATTAATATGGTCACCCAAGCTTAGCAAAAATTACTGCAGTTATTTTCAGCTGACACTCACAAAGTGAATCACAGAATGATATGGGGCTGGAAGGGACCTCTGGAGATCATCTAGTCCAACTCCCCTGCCAAAGCAGGTCTCCCTAGAGCAGGTTGCACAGGAACATGTCCAGGAGGGTTTTGAATGTCTCCAGAGAAGGAGACTCCACCACCTCTCTGGGCAGCTTGTTCCAGTGCTCTGACAGCTTCAAAGTAAAGAAGTTCCTCCTCATGTTTAGATGGAACTTCTTATGTTCAAGTTAGTGCCCGTTTCCTCTTGTCATGTCACCGGGCACCACTGAAAAAAGACTGGCCACCCACCCTTGAATCCCCACTAGCTTTAGGAGAAGCAATCCTACAAAATCAGTGGGTAACCATCTTGATAGCAAAGCTCTTTCACTGAGTCAGAAATCAATGACAAACAGCAAGCAAACTCATAACCTTAGAATTTTAAGGAAAAAAAACTGAAGTCCAAAATTCTATATTATACTGAAACTTAAGTTTCCTTGTCTTTCGCTAGTTTTCATATTGAATAGGATAGAATCAAGCACAGTTTCTAGGAACATTTAGAGTTTTGTATAAATCCAAGCTGTGAGAAAACATCACAGAAAATGCTTGACTCCTTAAGCTGAACTTTAAAGTACAACTAGGGCAATTTTGTATAGATTCTGGATGTTTTTCCCCCAAACTTACTATTTCTTTTCCTTAAGGACTAGAGAAAGTTCCTCACTTCCGTCTAGTATGCATTTAAGTTATAACTTTACTTATTATTTATTAAATTATCGATAATCTTGTATTATTTATTTGATACTATAGAGTGTATTTATAGCCTCGAATTTATATATTTCATACAATAAATACACTTTTATTATTTGATTTTTTACTATCAAATAAGTACAGGGTGCATGCTATAAAAAGTTATTTCATTCAAGCAGTAAAAATACAGTCTTTTGCCTCCTTGGCAGCAAGCTTGCATATTCGTGTTGCTTCCTACATCCAAGAGTAAATGCAAAACAACTTTGTCTAAACAAGCTGGAAGAAAGGAGGCCACACATAGTTCAGTATTTTCTCATAGCTCTGTTCTTCAAGATAGTGCATTCCTTTGATCAAAAAAAAAAAAAAATCATAGACAAATTATTTGTTTATGCCCAAATCAAAATTCTAGCAACACGTAAGGACACACATATTCCTGAATACTCTGCAAGTTGTCTCAAATCAAATATCAGGGACATTGTTTTTAAAGAGCATGCTGCATTTTCTAGATTTTCTTGGATGAAAGCAAAACACGGAATTACTATGACTTACTTAACGATGGGAAACCTACTGTGATCCAAAAACACTGCATTGACTCAAATATCCATACTAAAATAAAATTTGAAAAAATCCACAGGCTTAAATACACATACATTAAAAACACTGTTGGGACCATATATTGTATTCAAAAAGATCATTTTCTTCCAAGACAATAAAAAAGTGGAAGGTCTTTTTTGCATGTGTATACACCATTTGGAAAGAAGTGAGATATTTAAAGTTATCTGTTTCTATCAAAGCTCAGAAAAGTCACTGCAGCTTTTTTGAGGTGAGAAAGAACACACAATGAACCAGAAAAGGTAGTGTCTTTAGCATTTCAAAATCAAAAACCTAGAAAAATACTACACCTTTACATTCTCAACAACTCTTTCCTTAGCTTAAAAGTGGGAGGGAGGAAGATAAGGGAATTGAAATTAAGTCAGATTGCCAAAGATATTATGATATTGGTATTCCCTCTAGCCTTCCATTTGTTATCTTATATTTTTACAGGTATTTCTCATTTTCCATAATACTGCAGTTTAATTAATTATCTTCTATTAAATGCACAACAACATATTTATGACATTCTTATTACCAGGCAACACTTCTGTTGAGATACACAAATGACAACCCATACTAAAGTTACTAAAAATCAAGTCCAGCTTCACATCACCAGATGAATTTGGTTTTTTCTGCAAGTTCCAATAAATGTCTTTGGAATGCCATGCCTCCTTTCCACAGGGATACAACTGTATAGCACTACTGGCTTCAAATGAAAATACACTTTACATTTATATTTAATAAAGGTAGCTGTATTTTATTTAGTACTTAAATCGTATTTTTAAAGTCTACATAAACAGAAATGTAAAAACACTGAAACCACCAAAGTATTCCATTTTAAGTCTCACAGAAGTATATGGCTGGGTCTTTCTTGATGTTTTCTGAGAGTTATTACATCTTCTGTACCTTGCCTGCAATATACCACACGTTGGGGTTTTTTTTATGATAACATTGAAATGCATGTATATCCTACCTAAGGGTGAAGGGAAACAAACAAAAAAACACTTTTCACATTAGCCTGTAGCTACTGCAAAGTTCAGTCTTCTCTTTAAAGCAGTTTTTCCATTTTTTCAATACTTCTTGTTTTATGTTTTCTAGAAAATAATTTTTGAACTCAAATAACAACCAGAAAACAAAGGGGTTGTTTTTCCTGGGGAAAAAAAATAAATCTAACTTGTAGTCACATTTAAAAAAAAAAAAAAAGGGAACAAAAAACACCTGTCAGTACAAACTATATTCCACAATCCTAGATGTAACTGTTGTCTGTCTGCATGCGTTACTGCATAATTTGTGCCTGCAAAGTAATTTCTTTTTTGTTGTTTATAACAAATAAAACATCATTAAAGTAATTGATTTATACAGATTAGAAGTATTCAGCAGTACAGAGAGCACATCAGATGTGGCTTACTTCATAAAATACTTCAACTCCATTCTTTTATTTCTTCGTAAATCATTTAAAGTCATTCTACAGGTGAGCAATAATTCTTTGGAAAATAAGAATGAGTTATTTCACATGGATATATTCCTAGTGGCATAAACAGAAATGAAAGGAACCAAATGACAGTTAATTACTAGCTTTAACTGTGTGGTTTTATGAACTCTTTCATAATTTTTGCCATCAAAACCACACCAGATGCCACTGAATAGCATTGGGAGAAGAAACTTTAAGACCACAAAGGTGATCAGAGGGCTGGAGCACCTTTCCTATGAAGACAGGCTGAGAGAGTTGGGGCTGTTCAGCCTGAATGAACAAAGGCTCCAGGGAGACCTTATCGCAGTTTTCCAGGTACATAAAGGGGGCCTTCAGGAGAGAGGGACCCTTTACCAGGGAGTGTAGTGACAGGATGAGGGGTGATGGTTTTAAACTGGAAGAGCATATATTTAGTTTAGATACTTGGAAGAAATTCTTTACTGTGAGGGTGGTGAGACACTGGAACAGGTTGCCCAGAGAAGTTGCGGATGCCCCATCCCTGGTGTTGTTAAGGCCAAGGTGGATGGGGCTTTGACCAACCTGCTCTAGTGGGAGGTGTCCCTGCCCATGGCAGGGGGGTTGGAACTCAATCTTTAAGGACCCTTCCAAACCAAACCATTCTATGATTCCAAGAAAGCAGCATGCATCCCCCAAAACATAATGTGACGCATCCAGTGAAACTCCAGAATTTAGAGACTGCTCCCTTCAGTACTAACCAATTGGCTATTTTTCTTTTGTGCAGAAATAGCTCTAAAAGCTTGGCTACAACATTCAAAATGTTCACCGCCCCACCCTGCCAAATCACTTAATTTGATCAGAACAGCAAACTAGAGGCTACAATATATAATTAGCTATGTAATCTTCTGTGACTAAACTAGTTTTATTCCAGTCTATTCAAGTGTGGATAATTTGAAGAATCCTTTCTGTATTACATGTTATAGCTAAAATAACACTGATAAACTGTCTTCGATAAACTACTTTAAGTGCTTTGTTATTCAACGATATTAGGAAAATATTCAAATTATCCAGGATGTCATCACTACCTTAACATATTTTTGCAAAGCAGTTATAAAAATGGAATTAATTGCTTGAGGATACGTGGATATATGCACTTCTGTTTACCTAAACACACAGAAGAATGTTTCTGAGGATTTATTGAAAGTTTCCATTTTTTATGGCATAGCCTCAACATAACATACTATCCTATACCAGAACCTCTGTGGGATGGTAGAGAAATACAACCTACGCTTACGTAGCAGGGGCTGTGCGCAGGATGGCATATCTTCAAGTTTTATAACAAAACCTCTCCCATTTCCTAACATTTAAGCAACTGCTATTCACAGTAAAATTTCTTAACAGAAGTAAAATATCCTAGACACTGAGGTATACCTCTCGGCATCACTCTCCTTGTTAATGTTCTCCTGTGCTCTTCATATTGCAGTCACTCTCTTCTCTCATGGTCATTCCATGTTTAGTTTTCCATTGTCCAAAATGTCATCATCATCATCATGACAAAAAACCTCAACCTACTGAGGTGCTACCAATGCCATATGACCTTTCCAGCAAGTGGCTGCTCTTTTATAGCACATCAAAGCTGACAGCTAAGGAAGGAAGCAAATTTGAGACTGCATGTGCAGGCAAATGCTGCTGTAGAGGCAAGAACCTTAAGTCTTCTTTTGTGCAAAAGCCACATGGCATATAAATTCAGAACAAAACCCTGCTGTGACATCCAAAAGCATAAAAGCCCCTTGGAAAAGGGATTTTATGGTTATGATGATTTCCGGTCATCTTGAAGGAAAGCAGGTTTCCTCATTTCTCATTCCTTCTCAAAATCTGTTGCTTCATCTCACTTCTAATGATCATAAACCTTTAGTTCCCATTTTAAAAATATTTAGAGAAAAAACTTGTCAAACTAATTCAAAGACTTTGCTCCCTGGGAAACACCCTAAAAACCACAAAATTACAACTCATAACAACAATAATATTAATAATTCAGGTAAATAACAGAACATGTGCACAAAAGAAGGCCCCACCTGTCAGTTAGCCACGTTGCCATTCTTTAAGTGAAAGAAATCAGCGTAAGACTCTTACCATCATTTTTTCAAACAGTGCTATGATTTCTCTTTCCGACATGGGTTTTGGACCAAAATCCTCCGCATCCATAGGTGTGGATGACAAATCTGTAGAATGGGACTGCTTCAGATGCGGCAGAGGAGGTCTTTCCTTTTTACTTCCTGGAATCCTTATACTGGCAAATCTGTCCAACTGAAAACAGAAAAAGTATAGCACATCACATGCTGCTTCCATTCTGCCTAAGTCTATTAAGATAGGTGTTCTTGGAAGCTAAACACCCTTACTTTTCTGTGGTAACTTGCCTGTCATTTAACTGTCTTATTTTAAAGGGTTTTCCTAAAGATACATATAACAGTCAGTTGCCTTAGTACTTGAGTTAACAGACCAAAATCCCATTACATTATGGAGAAATCATGCAGAACACGATACTTTTATGGCAAGTTTGGAGGAAAAGATATCTACAAAACCAATTTATGAAGAGTTCTTCCCAACCACTACATCTAGAATATGAAAAAGCAGGCTTTTTTACCAAAAGCATAGTTTTTAAATGTTTTTGTTACTCAAACAGCTGTATTCCTGAGATTGCGATAGAATATACAGATATGCAAAGAAACTACATTTTATTAGAAGACAAGTTAGCATAACTAAGACACTGTTCTATTTATTTGGGGTTTTTTTATTATGTTATCCAAAACTTAGTGCCTTTTTGTGCTCCAATTATTTAGAAATTCATTTAGGAGACACATAAAAACCACCAGCTCCTTCATTAAAGTTAAGTAGGATACACTTATGGTTTCATGAATAACCCTTAGGACTTATCATCAACACAAGACAATCACTCTGACTTTATCTTTTCAAAAAGCCCCACTAAAAATTCTTTGGAAAAGTGGTTTGGGTTGTGGGTTTTTTTACTGGTTAGATATTTATCAACTTTTCCATAAAGACTTACTCAGGGAAATTGTAAACATTTTCACTGTTAGAGGTTGTGCATTTTAATGTATATGGGCAAGGACCAACAGAACACAAAAGCAGCTGACATACTCAATGAGATGTGCTAAATCTTAATCATCTTTGTAACAGCCTTTTGAACAGATGTGAACAGCAATATTACACTTGTCAACACAGAAGAAAGTTACGGTAGCATTTGATGTATAAGAGATTTTGGACAAGATTTCCACCATATCAATAGACTTACATCTTTGAAATGTTATGCAAAAATATTCTGAGGCTTCAATATATCTTGAAGATAAGTATCTTGAGATATGACTTAATATGTACATCAAAGTTACTAACTAAATGACAAGAAAAGTTATTATAGCGCCTGTGGAATCAAGATCAGAGAGAGCAAAGAAAATTAGTAGCAAAAATTGGGTACAAGTGTTCCACTCTACTCAGAGCAAGAATTGACTATTAGACATCCATGAAGAGAGGTTTAGAGGAAAAACAAAAAGACTTTAATTCTTCCTGTTCAAAAATTGAAAGGGAACAGTTTTTGGAACATAGAAATAGATTGTAAGCCACTCACAAACAGATGGTTGTATAACATGCAAAAGCAGAAAATTAATATAGCATAAACATAAAAGAGCTCAGCATGGATGATGGGGCCCTTCAGTGTCACATCAAACCAGCAGGCAATGAGGAAAGCGCACTCTACATGAATAATTACATAGGCAAGACCCAGGAAGGAATAGAATGCAATAAAAGCAAAAGGGAGGGTAGCATCATTACAAGTGAAGTATAGAGCCAACAATGGCAAAAATCATCTTGCATCTTGACCAGACAGCAATTTCCCTTCCCGTCTTTAAAATCAGAAGACTATGGCAAGCATAGGAAGATGAAGCCAGATTGCAAACAGCAATGACTAGACTGGAATGTTAAAAAAAAAAAAAAAAAAAAAAAAAAAAAAA